CCCCCTCACAACAGTCAAATAAACCCACCAAAAAGAATCCCTCCCACCTCTCACCCAGGAAGAGAAAAAAAACCCCAAAACACCAAAACAAACCTACCACCACAACACATACAGACACAAAACACACAAACAAACCTACAATAACAAACGGTCGCTTTTAAGGACAAGCGGGCTAATCCAGATTTCGGGGGTTTCCAGATATCCTGACCTACACCAAAGAGGGCATTGCCCTACCTATAGGACAAGTTTGGTTTCATTGGTGTGTATATTTGTTTGGACATAGAGAAAACTCTCCTTGCCTTTTAACCCTATCCACACGACGTGTTTTACTATCATATCCATACGACATGGGGAACTCTGTGTCACCGCTTTCCAATTTCCAAAGAGAAAATTTACTCGTTCATCCGATCCGTACCTTTTTTCATAGCAGTCTGTCAAACTGAAATTTTGAGAAATACTGAAAGTTGCAAATAGATCTTCGTACTAGAAGTATACCCCGGGGGTACAAAATGACCCAAAGGCGTACGGATAGGGTAAAAGAAACTAAACAAGGGCCCAAACACCTTCGATTTTCTCAAAACAGCATTATCCGAGTTAGCCCCCTTGTGTTGAAAAGCCACCACAAATCAAAACGCCACGACACGTCACAACAGCCCGGGCAACGAACTGACTGACTGACTGTATGACTTACTGACTGACTAATTGACTGGTTCACTGACTGACTGACTTACTGACTGACTGACAAACTAACTGATTGCCTAACTGCCTGACTGCCTGACTGACTAATAATTTAAAAAATGACATGTATATAGCGCTCAACCCCGATTAAAGTACACAGACTCTGAGCGCTTTACAATACAGCACAACGTACAACAGTAACATAAAACGTTGAGTTCTGACGGAAAGAAAATTACTCCAAATATCCATCTGATTAATTTAAAAACAGAAACGACTTCAGATGACATTTGAATGAATCAAAAGATTTGATCTCTCTTTAAGTACTTGGTAAAGCATTCCAGATCTTGGGGCCTTGGTATTGAAATGCTGTATCACCCACTGTTTTAATTTTCAAAGATGGTAAAACAAATTTCATTTTGTCAGCTGATGCCCTTAAACTGCAGGTTGGAATGTACAGTCTTAACAGATTTGATAATATGATGGTGCATTATCATTCAAACATTTGTGACATAGGGTGGCCAACTTGTACACAATTCTTTTCTCAGCAGAAAGCCAAAGCAATGTCCGTAAAAGAGATTTAGCAGAGTCTTGCTTTAACTGACTGACTGACTGATTGACTGACTGACTGACTGACTGACTGACTGACTGACTGACCCCATTGGCTCCCGGCGAAGTCTCCATACTCTCGGGCGTGCCAAAGCACTGGTAGGGCATGCGCCTACGAGCCAGCACGTTGATGTAGGCGAACTCTAGCAGGGAGGCGAAAACGAAGAAGAGACAGGTCGCCATCCACACGTCTATAGCCTTCACGTAACTCACTCGGGGCAGAGAGGAGCGGGCGCCTGAGCTCTGTGTGGTCATTGTCAGAACTGGTGGGAAAGGGGATGATGAGGGGATGACATGATGAGATTAGGAAGACATTAATATATTGGGGAGGGG